CTCCTGCTTGCTCCAGCTCCGTGGCCACGGCAGGCTGAAAGCAGGTATCTGGGGTTTATTTACCTTCTATAATTGAAACTTTCTTGCTTTGAGTGTAGCTTAAAGCCAGCCACGGCAGTTGGGGAACCTTGGCTTCTTCCATCACTGGAGCAAGCAAGCCTCCTGCTCGCTGCAGCTCCATGGCTGCCGGCCGCCATCTTTGTTGGCAGTTAATTTGCATATCTCGCTTATTAGCCAATGGGAGGCGTAGCGAAGGTATGGTCAATTACCATGTTTGTCTTTTATTAGGTAAGACTAGAGGCCCGGTGCATGAAATTCATGCATGAGGGATGTCCCTCAACCCAGCCTGCACACTCTCCAATCTGGGAGCCCTTGGGGGATGTCTGACTACCAGTTTAGACCCGATCCCATGGACATCCCTCTCACAATCTAGGACTGATGGCTCCTAACCACTTGCCTGCCTACCTGCCTGATCGCCCCCTAACTCCTCACCTGCTGGCCCAATCACTCCCCACTGCCCTCCCCTGCTGGCCCAATCATCCCCCACTGCCCTTCCCTGCAGGCCTGGTCACCCCCAACTGCCCTCTTCTACCGGCCATCTTGTGGCAGCCATCTTGTGGCAGCCATCTTGTGATGATCTGAGGGTGGCCATCTTGTGGCATGCTGGAAGCAAATTCCAGCGGGTCATAATTATGCAAGAAGTTCATCAGAAGGCTGATAGATCCTGGGGCTTCAGCAGGGCTGAAAATCTGCATATATTATTACCTGCTGCTGGAACAGCTGCAGGCATTTCCCCTAACCTGATAATCTTTTCCTGTTTACCTGCTGCTGGTGGAATAGCTGAAGGAATTTTCCCTAACCTGATAATCTTTTTCTGTTTATCAAACTTTACCTGTTTGCATTCCTCAAGGGCCTGTGTGTTTTCCAGCAAATGAAAAGTGGGTCTGGAGATTCAGAGAGCCCACTTCACTAGAAAGTGGTGCCTCTCCTGGATCCCCCAGGCCTCCCAAGTTTATATTTCATGTCTAGATTATTAATTTACTCACAGTCCTCCAGATTCCTGAACCCTTGCAGCTGCAGAAAGACCCCAGCATTTATGGTTCCTGAGACAAAGACATCAGGAGAAGAAGATTCACCAGAGCAAAGAAAAGAAGCTAATCACTGGTAAAGGTGGGGACCACTGGTAAATGCGGAGATCACTGGTAATAGGTGAGGGGTCACCAAAAATTCAGTGGGGAGATTCACTGCATGTAAAGCCTGTACCAAGCTTTGGATTTCATGAACCAGAGTGGGCGGGAAAGTCTTTTGTTTTAAGCCAGACCATAATGGGGAAGAATTTGGTTAAAAGGCAAAATTATAGAGAAATTAAAATGTCAAACGGTACTTTTTAAAATGAGGCTCAAGGAAAAAGAGTGTCGTTGTCATCTTTAACTATGTGAGGTCTTGTTCTGCTTCTAGTGTGGATAGACTTGGCAGCTAGACAGGGTGGAGCTTTGAATCCTCTCAACAGGGAACTCTCTGATGCTTTGTTTAAAAATTACCATAGGATGCCTTGGGACAGGCAGATTTTAGCTAAAACAACTTTAAAGGCCAGTCAATGCTATGGAGAGCAGAATAGAAAAAGAACTGTGACTTATTAAGTCTATATGTTAGCTGTTGAATGTAGTTTTTCTGTCATTTTTGTTTGGTTTAATATGTTTGTTGTTAGTCTATTAAGCATGCCTTTGGTTTAATTTAATAAGAAGGGAGACCTGGGCGGCCAGATAATTTACTGAATTTCCCCAGAAGAAACAGGATATTGGGCTGGGGAGATATGTGGAGATCCTGTAAAATGGACAACCATTCCAGAGAGTACTATTAGAAAAATCTAATTTGCGCCATGTTTTTTCCTGGTTTGTCATTTAAAAATTTAGGAATGTGTCTGGGATTTCTGTACTTGTAAAGAGAAAAAGACTGGCTTAAGAAAAATGGCACACCCCATACAATCTTGGATGGCTTCTTAAACTACTTTTAATCTCTTTACGGATGATATAGAATAACCCAAGACTGTTTTTTCTCAAAAGAAAGATGGCAAAAATGACCCAAGGAAAAAAAATACAGGCTGGTTCTAAACAACAAGATTTATATTTTCATAATAAAGTGTAGTTTTTAAATAATAATAGACAGCATTCCAAAGTTAACATTAAGGCCCCTAGAAGTCAGTGAGTTATCTCTGTTACAGAATTTGCCAAATAAAATGCCTTGGATAATAATAATTGGCTTTAGAATTTCAAAATTGTTGAAACATGGATAAAAAATCTATTAATTATGAAGGAAAGAATGTGGCAATTTTGCATTTAAATAGCTACAGGCTTGCCTCCAAAGTCGTTGGCAACTTAAAACTTTGGAGTTTGCTAAATTAAATAATAAAAATTATTAAATGTCTAGGTATTTTAGGGTAACAAAATACTGAAATGTTAATCAGAGTTTGCCTCATATGAAGAATCTAGAGGATAGAATTAAATCTGTTAATTAAATATGTCTTGTATTTTTTAAAAATGTGAAGTTATTGCTAATCTGAGAAATGCTAAGTATTTAACTTGCCACCTAAAATTTAAGGCTTCTAAGAGTCTAAAGTTCAAATTAAGTTAGGAGAAATCATATAATTGTGATAATAAAATCCATAAAGTATAGAAATTTATTTTTGAGAAAATAATTCTAAGATATAATATTTTATATGGTCTAATTAATAAAGAAGATTAATTCTATAGTCTGAACCAAATTTTAATATAAAAACAAGTTTAAATTTAATTGATATATTTTAGAATAATTATATGTATAACAAACGTATAACATAATCTTTGGGTTATAATTATTTTGATAGTCTTTCCATGTTAAATTTCAAGACTTTAACCGAGAGATAGCTCTGTAACATTTCAAGGGCCCTGGAATAATTCAATAATTCCTCTCTTTTTAAAAGAAATATTTTAAAACCAAATTAGGCTGATCTAATATACTTGAAATCTCTTGAAGCTTCATCAAAAAGCTTTATCAAATAAAAATTAATAAATATATTTCATTTATATACATATATTTTAAATGTTTTGGGATTTAACCTCTAGGAGAGGGCAAAACAGAAGTTGCTAAATATTTCTTAGGATTCAGCAATGGAATCTTAAAGACAAAAAGCCCTGGCAGCCTGCTTTTTAGATAGGCTGCGGGGATGGGGAGGCATCTGTACTTCATAGGTCAAATGTCTAAGTTTGCTTTTTCAATAGAGATGCCTACTTTAATTACTTAATAGATTAGCTTTTTAAAATATAATCAAGGTCTCATATAATTTCAGTTATATGAGAAGCAAATATTTTATAAACAAATGGATTCTAGTAAAGTCCTCTGAAATAGTTCCTGAGACCTCCCATAATCCCTCTGTGTATGCAAATGAGCACTAACCAAAAAGAATGCTGTTTAAAAGTAAAGTTTAAGCTTTATAAAAAGGAGAAATTTTAAAATCTCTTCCACTAATATTTATAGGGTAAACTAAAGGTTATTATTCAAGCATTAAATCTAATCATTAATAAAGTCACCATAAGTAGGAAAAGAGTCACTTAAAATTTAGGCAGCAGTATCGGCCAGTATCTGAAAAGCAGCCAAGTGTGTTGCTCCATTTAAAAGAAAGAAAGAAGGTTTTTAAAAGAAACTTCCTAAGTGTGGCCTAGAAATTACTCTAGAACAGGGGTGGGCAAACTTTTTGACTCGAGGGCCACAATGGGTTCTTAAACTGGACCGGAGGGCTGGAACAAAAGCATGGATGGAGTGTTTGTGTGAACTAATATAAATTCAAAGTAAACATCATTACATAAAAGGGTACAGTCTTTTTTTTTTTAGTTTTATTCATTTCAAACTGGCCGGATCCGGCCCGCGGGCCGTAGTTTGCCCACGGCTGCTCTAGAAGGAAATAACGGGAGTTTCCTTCAAATGTCTGGAAAACTGTAATTAAAAGTCAATGTATTAGGGCTCAAAAAGAAAAAAATAATTTGCATTTAGTCTCCTTAAACAAAGCTTATGTAGATATACTCAAAGACTGATAGCAGAAATTTAATTAATGTCACTTACTGTCCACACCCAAGGACAAGTAAAGTTAGAAAATAAGCCTTATTTCTGACTGATTTAAATTGGCAAATTGAAATAAGTGAATATTCGGGAGAACTTAGTTGTACTAGGCAGGAACCTATTCTTGGAGCATTAACTAATTTTTTACTGATGGTTCATCTCATAGTAAAGCTGCTTAGCAATCAATGAATCCAAAGCAGCCATATTTCTGTGCAAAGAATTGAATTAAAAAGCTATCAAAACTGCTTTGCAGGATTTTCAAAAGCCACTTAATATTATTTAAAACAAAAAAGGGGGGATAGTAAAGTAATCTCCTGTAAGTAAATTATATCAAGCCTTAATTACTTAAGTTTTTACTTTAAATTTTTTTTTTCACTTGTAATGCTGATGGCAAGACACACATGGTGTCAGAATAAGCCAAAGGAAAATGATTTGGGCAAAATGAAAAAATCCCGAGTCTAGTTTATAGAAAGGATTTCTTTATTAACATTTGGTCGAGAATATGCTTATATATTTACAGAAAACTCCTCCAAGGCCATGTGGACTTCTGCAACAATGGACCCAAGAGAGGAACTGACCAGACTACTCCAGCCACAGATGGCAGTGGCCACAAGCAACACACTGAGGAGATAGAGGAGAAACAGTCAAGAGATGGGGGATAGTAAGTGCCTTGCTATGCTAGCAGTCAGCAGCTGTGTGTCACTGAAGGTTGCCCTGGACAAAGCCAAAGAAGATTGGGAAGGG